AACGGTCTTGATGTACATACGATTCTCCAATAAGGTACTCTCGTCGTGTTTGGCAAGAAGAGCCGAGACCGATTGTTCTTTCTCTGCAGCAGCCTTCCACGTTGCCCACCTCACCATCGCCTCCTTGTGACCGGCGCTAGCCTTATGAGCGTTCAGTTTTTCAACGCCCTTCTTGAAGTTACTGAAGCCAGAGGACACGAACGAGCCATTTGGCGGACCGAAACCGGCAGCTGCTGGTGGGTAAAAGAAACGGCAGGCGAAGCAGTATGCCTTATCGGTAGATCTGCTCCACTCGAGCCAAGGATTACCAACATACCAGTCAGCTTGGAATGGACGCCCTTGTGCGTTCGGTAAAAAGCCGGCCTTAGGTTGCAAGGGCTCACCGGACTTGGACTCAGCAATATCGGCGGGTACCTCGCCACTCGGGTTACCAGCAGGCCTAGCGCGCTTAGAGCCTTCCAAAGGCTCCTGACCTTCACGGACGCGCTTCATCATCACGGCAAAGGCAGATTGAGCAGAGCTGGATGAGGAGGACATTTCGCAAGTTTACAATGGAGTACTTTAAGTGTCAATGAACACGCACGCATGTACATTGCGCAATCTACACGCATGCGCAGTAACATTTTTTAATAAATGGTAATTTCGGAGTGAAACTTTCCAAAACGAAAAAATAAAAGAATTTAGTAGGACCCTCTGTGGTCTTAGCTCGCCCCTATCCTGCCCCCCCTGGCGCACAGGACGAGATACGCCACTGTGAATAACGCGTAAAACACATCACGCTTTACGTGAAATGGGCTGATTTCTCCTGTGTAATTCGTAATAGTATTTAAACTCACTTCATATCGCGTTTGGCACACGAAGTTTTACACAGGTAGAACTCCGATAAATAACCAATATTTTTTAAAGAGGTCTCATTAAAGCTGGTAGAAAAATCTTGAAGATCTTCATAGAAGAGTGCCTCTTATCTATTAGAAGAGGCTTCATTTGAAGCTTACATTGCGTATACAATCATCCAGATCCTCCGATACTTGCCGGGAACATTCAGAAGGAGTCATCGAGATCACTACTAAACACAGGAAACTACATAAAAATACAAAAGACCTTTTCACCAAACTCTCAACATCTCCAACACGTCGCAGTTTAACCAATGAAATGAAAAACATTAGTGAGAAAGATTTCTCACAACCTACTGCGTATCACCGCGAATATCGGGTCTTTCACAGAGAATTACGCCACTCCGTGTAGAACCAGTGACACAGTTTTCAGCTCGGAATATTGTGGCAAGTTCAATAGTGCTCTCATTCTATTCAGTAGAGCTAGTAAGCATTTGACTCAGCGCGTGAGGAAAAAAGCCGTCTAAATTTGGACACATAATCTTCGCCAGAATCTCAACTACCCACAACTCCAACTCAAAATTTTCAGGCGAACTCAGGCGTGCAGAAAAAATGTGAAATCGATCATCTCTGGGGCGTGTTCACAATAATCATCATCGTATTAGCCACAAACGCCTCCAACTGCATTATCGCTTTACTACTCAGGGCGCGTCTACCCTCGTAACTGAAGAACACCAAATTCCAAGTCCTGGAATTCACGAAGATATTAATCGAGTTTCATGTGAAGTGGCGTGCTACGAAAAACAGCAGTGGAAAACATATTTCACGACTACTGCGTATCACCGCAAATATCGCGTTTTTCACAGAGCTTCACGCCACTTCACGTTAAACATTTGAAACTCCATTACTAAAGTGGTTTTATTAGAAATATATTGAAGCTTCACTCATGATGTGTAAAAAACACTAGTTGTGAGGAAATTTAGTGCACAAATGTCTCTCCCAATTTCCGGATTCTCTACCGAAGAAAACTTTATACACCAGCAAGCGACCACGCAAGTGGCCCGTGGCGTGCATGGCCCGTTAATTCAGTTTGCGGCCTTCACGCTCAGACAGTGTCTGACAAATGCGAATGGGAAGAAGAGTGTCTGGCAGACACTCTTTGCCACATTCACATTTCAAATAGAGGGGATCTAGGAAATTCTAGGAAAATAGGAGTCCATTTTTATCAATGAAAAACACAATCTTCGCTGAAATTGAAGACGCTGCCATCAGCGAGCTTAGATTCTCCAGCCGAGCCTTCAGCTCTGCAACGAGTGGGGCGACTCGTATACACCAGTCAAAACACGGGGAGGGTTTATTATGCAGCTATCCTCGGTGAGATCCTACTACCGGCATCATGTACTATCGGGTAAGACCACCGACTGAGCAAGCCTCAGAAAAAAGAGGGAGAGAAATCTCTCCAGAGTTGGTTCAGTTTGTTAAACATACAATTACGCCGCTCCTTGACTGTAAGCTCTAGTTGTGCGAATTCACTTGCATTTTAGATAACTTGTTAGTGCACTACATTAGAGGGCGTGCAGATCATCAGAGTCACAAGTGACTCAGCAAGCAATATGAAACGGATGAGATAAGACATTGTAAGAGTGGGCCAATCAAGGAGAGGTAATTCCATCATTTATACCATTAATCTCTGTACGGCTGCTACTGCTGGGAGCTCGGAAATTAATGGGATCTCTTCGTTACCGATATGTGTTGGCGAACGCGTCAAGCTCTATTGTTAACTGCATGCATAATTCCAACACTGCTTAAGATGACACCAAGATTCGGCGCCCAGGAGTCCCAGCCCAGGGAGACCTCTCCGGAATGGCTATTTGAATCTTTACGCGGCACCCTCCGGTGAGGAGGCGATGCGTAGGAGCCTAGGGAAGGGATCCAATAAGGAACCCATTCGCCGTAACCAATAACACCCTGCATTCGGATGAGATCGGCAGTCGCAGGTTCGAAACCCACGACATACGTTTTTCAATATGTGTAAGTTTGCGTCAACTGCACAGAGCCTGGCCTGTGTTGGGACACCTCAATGCCGATAACAAGCCTTGCTATAGCAAGGCCCCACAAAAAGGTGGAAAATCGCTTTTTCTGGTGAAAAGGCGAAATTTCAATTTTTCTTGAAATTTCAGATGTGAGTGTGTGAAACGTTTTCGGATTTTCGGATTCTTGTGATATTTGTCATCCTCGCTACCCTAGAGTATGATCTATGATGACTTGACTTTCCCCCGTTTTGCGTTCGGAGTGGCGTAGTAGTCTGTGAAAAACGCGATATTCACGGTGATATGCAATAGTCGTCCAATATATATTTTTTCACGGGTGAAACTCTACTGTATTAATCACCTGTTGAGAAACACTTGTTGACGACTCTTGCTGAGTTATTTCTAATCCTAATACTAGTGCAAAATATATTTCCACTTCATATCGCATTTTACTTGACATAAAACAGCAGACGTGAACACCGATTTCACCCCTCACCGAGCAGCTAGCTGTGTTAGTTTCCTCATCTGTTCTTCGCCCTTCATTTTCTCTCCTAGACTTAAAACAAGACGATAGAATATATCTCGAGGATCAATCCATTGTGTTAGTAGTGTATATAATTTCGCTCGAACGGCCTGAGAAAGTAAATCAATGGAGTTTCTATGTGAAAAACGCGATTAACAATCCGCGAATTACACCGGAAATATCACCCCATTTCACGTGATAACGTAGAATCTAATAACAATATATACCTCAACGAAAGCAACAAAAGCAACAAAAGCAACAAAAGCAACAAAAGCAACAAAAACAACAAAAACAACAAAAACAACAAAAACAACAAAAACAACAAAAACAACAAAAACAACAAAAAAAACAACAAAAAAAACAACAAAAAAAACAACAAAAAAAACAACAAAAAAAACAACAAAAAAAACAACAAAAAAAACAACAAAAAAAACAACAAAAAAAACAACAACAACAACAACAACAACAACAAAAACAACAAAAACAACAAAAACAACAAAAACAACAAAAAAAACAACAACAACAACAACAACAACAACAACAACAACAACAACAACAACAACAACAACAAAAACAACAAAAACAACAAAAACAACAAAAACAACAAAAACAACAACAACAACAACAACAACAACAACAACAACAACAACAACAACAACAACAACAACAACAACAACAACAACAAAAACAAAAACAACAACAATCTAAGATGATGGATATCGCGCACGCCTCCTTGATCGATATATCTTCAGACAATCGATACACTCCTTTGCATTGTGCTGCGCAGCTTGACCAGTTCACTAGTGTTGAAACAAATTTCCTATGTCACTACTTACTTGGTATCATTATTTTACATACGCTTCTCACTAGTGTTTTTTTTCATATCACGCGTGAAACTCCAACATGATTCCAATAAACAGCATAATAACCTTGATAAAGAAATTTCACCCGCCAGATAAAGAACACTAGTGAAAAACATATTTCACGACTACTGCATATCACCGCAAATATCGGGTTTTTCGAAGAGTAATACGCCACTTCACGTAAAACGGATTAGACTCAATAAATTCTCTCAACATAAAATTTGCCCGATATCCTCACAACCAGTGGAGTTTCACCCATTT